AGCAAGTAATTTCTAAAGAATTTTTAAGTATCTTAGCTTATAATCAACCTAGTGAATTGAAATATCAGTTTCATTTCCTACTATCAACCTGTCACCATTCAAACTATAATGAATAGTTCATAACTTTCTTGGAGTCATATAGATACACTTAAAAATCTGACAGAAGTTACAGACTCAATCACCAGAAAATTAAATACTTGGAAACACACAATTTTACATACAATTTCATGAGGTCATGAGACCCTATAGTCTACCTATAAATCAGAGGGTAAGAATAAAAATTCAACTTGTTATAAAAGTACAAATTTGTAAATCTAGGAAAATGGAAGAAAGGAAGAAGGACTAAAATAAAAGTTGAAAAGGCTGGGGAAGGGGTGGAATAGAGATGGTCTGGTAAAGAGGTAGTAAATCCAATGCTAGATATAAAACCCTGTGGTTTCTCTACACCAAAGCATTCTCCTCTCTTACATGTCATATCATTTGATCTTTACAGTAATTCATTCAATGAAGCAGATCATGTATTATATATTTGACTTTAAAGATGAGAAAACTAAGATTTAAATTGAGTGAGTTGCCCAAGGCCAAATACCAGTACATGGCAGAACCAAGTCCCTGAGTCACTTTCTTTGAGGATTTTTCGGACACACGATTGGCTCTCAGAGACATAATTCAGAAAAGGCAGATGACAGAGAGGAAAAGTGGGTAAGAAACTAAGAACAAAAGAGAAACTGGATGAGCAAAAATGTATAGAAAGTGTAAAAAGGGAGGCAAGGACTACAGATAAAGATGAGTATCTAAGTAAAGCAATAAGGGGAAAATAGGGCCTTTTGTCATCTTAAATGTTATAACAAGAAGCTACGCTCCAATTCCCAGTAGTAAGCTATCTTGTCAAACTTAAAAACTTAAAAAAAAGTATAGGATTCCCATTCCAGATTATGAAAGATACTCACATAGAAAGGGATAAAGAAAAATACAATCCCCCCACACAGAAGTGTTATAAGAAACTCTTATGAGTGAATCTTACATCTATGTACCAGCTGACAAAAAGAAATCTCACACTCTGGCCTCATTAGCCAGCTCTAGATCCCAAGTTGTGGGGTTGCTGACCTACAATTCTATTTTTCTAAAAAACAAAGCTAAACAAAACAGGAATCTTTATTTTTAATAGTAGTCTTCCTGATTGGGTATGGTTAATGGTTTTTTCCAGTGGTTGTTAATAGCCACAGCTTTTATTTTGGACGGAATTGATAAGTAAACATTGTTTTAAAAAACTGTGTTTCTTTTCAAATAAAATGAGAGATGTTTAAATTGTTATCCATTGGCACACCAAAGCAGCTTAAGTTCTGATGAGTAAACTGTGAAAAAACAATTATTTCCAGAGAAGCCTGAAACCTAACAGATAAGACTTCCTTATATTAAAAATAGAAGGGAAATAAAAACAAATAGATATGCAAAAAAAAGATACCACCTCATTACCTGTGAGAACAGCTATTAAAAAAAGATAAGAAAACAACAAATGTTGGGTGAGGATATGGAGAAAAAGGAACTCTCCTACATTGTTGGACTATCACTTGGTGCAGTTGTTACAAACAGTATGGAGGTTTCTCAAAAACAAAAAATAGAAATTCCATATGATCTAGTTTTCCCACTTGTGAATATTTGCTGGAAGAATTAAAAAAAAAACACTAATTTCAAATAGATATATGCACTCCATGTTTATTGAAGCATTTTTTACAAAACCCAAGAGACAGAAACAACTAAGTCTATCAACAGACCAGTGGATAAAGAAGATGTGGGACTTGTACTCCATAAAATACTACTCAGCTATCTAAAGAAAGGAAAAAAAAAAAAAACCCTGCCATTTGCAACAACATGGATGGAACTTGAGGTGATTATACTAAGTCAAATAAGTCAGATGGAGGAAGACAAACACCAAATGATTTTACTCATGTGAGGTACATAAAGAAATAAAACAAATGAACTGATTAAAACAAAAATAAACTTTTAGACTACAAGACCAAATTAGTGGTTATGAGAAAGGAAGAGAGAAAGGGCTGGGTAAGGGGCCAAAGGGTCAATTGTATGGTGAAGGATGGAATTGGATGTGAGTGGTGAACTTAACATACTATACATAGACACAGATTTGTAATGATACACACTTAAAAAGCACAGCTTATACTGCAATGTTACTTCAATAAAAAATATTTTTTGATAAAATAAAATCAGAAAAGAAATCCAGCGAGGAGTAGCAAAGGGAATAACAACCCAAAGGCCACACACACTCCAGAAAGCCTGACTGCCTACGGCGGCACTGCACACACCCTGGACTTCAAAATAGTGTTGGGAAAGCAAATCTGTCCAGAGTTGTCCCTCTGCCTCAGGCTACAGTTCCCCATGGAAGCTGAGAAAGTGGGGTGTCAGGACACAATCCTGGATGAGAAAGTGATGAAGCACCTGGGGCTGAGTTTAGAGAATTTGCCAGCAGGAAGTAGAACATCAGCATGGACAAAATTTGGCCTTCCCCTTTCTCGGGTTACTAGAGTCCTTTAATGAAAGCACAAAGGAAAATGCTGAGAGTTTGGCTGGCCCTACCACTGTTTGCCAAGATAAAAAAAGATGAGTTGAAGAGATTAATCATCTGCTCCCCAAGCAATTTTTTGCAGAAGTAGGAAGTCAGAGATAGGGAGACAACTCTTCATCACAGATTGAAGACATATTGGGCCCATTATGAGGGCTGTGGCCTAAACATCCATATTTATGCATCCTAGTGTGGAATGAGTAGATTCTGGCAAAATTTAAAGGGCTAATGATGGATGGAGGACTCAGAGACATCACAATGGTATATGGCACCAAAAGGCATTAACAATGTATCTTCACCTCTTTTCCTGCACACTGTCGCCTGCTGCATAGCAGGGATTGTAACTGGGAGACATATTTCTTTCTGTGCCTACTATCTGCTATGCCCAGGGTCTAGCGACTGTAGACCAGTACACTATACACAGGCTACTTATGTAATCCTGGGGCAATATTTCTGCCGATAAAATAAATGAGTTGCACAGCCTTTGTTTCACTGAGTGTTTCAAATGTGATTTCTCACTACTAGTCTTACAAAGTACATTAGCATTTAAATATTCAGAACCACCCTCATTCTAAAATATGCTTCCTGTTCAGTACAAAGAAAGTCAATTTAAAAATTTGCTGGTGTGGGAAAAGAAGTCCTTGAAGGAGAAAATAACACAAGGCATATTGAAGGAAGTTCAACTGGATCAGTAATGAGTTATTTAATGATTTTTTGGCAACCTTTAAACAGTGTTTCATTTTTCACAGCCAATGTCAGCATGAACAATTTTGCTCCCAAAACATACTGTTCTAAAATGGCCACCTTCTGAGAAAATGAGACTAGAATATCAGTGAGCACAACTTAGAATGCAGTAGGCAGAAGAGAAATAGATTTTGTTAAGATAGAGGATTGATCAATAAATATAAATATGGGGGTGGATTTTTCTTTTGCTTTGTGTGATTTGTGTAGAAATAATGAATCTTAGAGCAAGAGGTACTTGAAGGAGTTAGCTCCCATACTTGGGTTTTAAAGATGAAGAAAGTGAAATATCCATGAGAAAGGTCACAACATGTCGATAATTCACCTCTCTCCAGTGTGATTTCAACACCTAAGAAAAATTTCACAAAGAAAGCTTTTCTAAGAAAAAGGCCTACTCTAACAGTGCTTTCTGGACTATTAATACACTGGCTTTGTTAAGTTAGCCAAACACTAGGGCTCTGGTCACTAAAGAAGAAACTTGGAAATTACCTGATCCAACTTCTGCATTTTATAGGCAAGAATAGGATTCCCATAAGGAAAGCAACCAGGCCAGAGTTCCATATCAGGTGACAAAAGGTTTCCCAACATTTTTGAACCAGACACTTCTTTGTTGTGGGAGCTAGTCTTATGCACTGACAACGTTTAGCAGTGCTCCTGACCAGTAGCAGTTCCCCTCCAAAATATCAACAAGTGTCCCAAAATATTGCCAAGATATGGGGGACAGAAATGCTTCCCTCTGAGAATCTTTGGGTTAGAAACTGGCATAACTGGTAACAAAATCCCTCTCCACTCCCAACCAGGTGTTCCTTAACCATGCGAATACTTGTTTTCATATAATTTTTAAAAAAATTTTATTTTTGCATTGAAGATCTGGGGTGTAGGCACAGGTGCAGGGGGTAAGAGACTTCACCAGAAACAGTAGGGAGCAGAACAGGAGGTTCTACTAAAACACACTGCTTAAGGGAACAGCAGCCAAGACAGGAGAGGTCTGCTGACAATATGGGTTAGCTCCCTGCTGGGGATCCAACTCAGGCCTTGGTGGTGGTAATGCTGAGACTTAACCCCTAGGCCACCATGGAGGCCCCATAAAAATATTTTAGCGCCAGAGAGGACTGATTAATGCATTAAGCCATCTCCAATACTAATTACATGCCAAATGATGCTATTAACAGGCTCTTAAAAATGAGTCTTAAAGACATGAACTAACTGCATTTATCTAATTGTGTGTAATTGATGTGACTATTAACACATATTTGCACATAAATACACAAGGCTGAAACCATGGAAAACAATAAAATGGTGGGGCTCCTGTTTTTCTGTTGGGCAAAATACAATAATGTCACGTTGAAAGATACTTCAGGGAGAAATCCCTTTACAAATGTTAAATTTCTTACAATTCTTAGTCAAATTCACTACACATTGGACCTAAATATAGATCATCTTTTTTTTCATTAACAGGAAGAGATTTCATTGTAAAGTTGTTTAATCATCTTAAAAAGCTAAGACACTCAGTTGAAGAAGTTGAGTTTAGTTTACCTAAAACAATGCTCAAAATAGTGCCAGAATTTCTTCTTAAACACAGATGGAAAAATCAGGCTGAATATTTCTCAGGACAGACAGCTTCTACCTGATAGCAGCCACTGATTCCTGAGTTCCTATTAATATGATATTCCAATATTACCTGTTTCTCTTTTTCCGGTGTTCTCGGTTAGAATTTTCTGATTCACTACCACTGCTTGTGTTACAGCGTGAGCGTGACCTGAAAAGAAAATGTGAAGAACAGAAGAAAAAAACTTTCATTTGTGATAAATGAAAAATTTCAGAAAGATTCATGTTGGTTCTTTTGGAATTAATTTTGCAGTAAAATTACTAGTCCAAATAAAAGTAGCTGTATTATCCTTCTCTGAATGAGTCTATAGAAATGTGAAAACGGACTAAGGAAAATGTCACCACATTTCCAGAAGGGACCTTCCAACAGAACACACCAACATAGCAAAGCTATAAGTTATATATATAAGCTGCTTTGGTGGGCTAAGAGACATCACACACACACGCACACACACACACACACACACACACAATTGAGAGGCTGAGTTTATTTTCCCTTCCCTGGAATTCACAGTGGTTTTGTGACTGATTTTACCAATAGAATGAGGTAGAAGGAAACTATCAGTTCCAGGACTATCCTTTGATAAGGCTGGTAGATCCTGCACCACTTGCCTTCCCCCCACCCCAGCCATAATCTTGGTTGCCCATGTGGAGAGATCATTGAGAGAGAAGCCCCAAGCCTCCAACCATTCTGCCAAGATGCCAGATATGAGAGAGAAAGGCTTCTTGGATATCCCAGCCTTGATCACCATTCTGACTTGCAGCTTCATGTGAGACTAGGAAGACAATCTATAAAAGTATATGTTAAAGAAACACAATAATATAAGATATATATGGTGGTTGTTGCTTTAAGCTACCAAGTTTGGGGGCGGTTTTAAGGTAGCAATAACTGAGAACAGTTCCTCTGAAACACAAAGAAACAAAAAAAAAAAACCAAAGAGAAATTGCTAAGGATAGAATGGAAGACTGAGAAGGAGTTGAAGCCAAAATTGGCTTATGAAAGCTAAAACAATATTTTACAATATTTTAAAACAGCCACCTAAAAAACCCTCTCCCCCATTTTTGAGCACACTCAAATCTGAGTTACACTAATCGGCTAATCGTCTTCCCTTTCTAGAATTTTTTTTTTTTTTTGGTTGTTTTTACCTTCTCCTTTGCTTTAGATCTGAGTCTTCACCACTGTTATGGGTTTTCCTAAGGAAAAAAAAAATAGTGAAGAGATTAAGGGAAACAGAAAATTAGTTAAGGAAAACACATCAAAACACGTTTCACTTCAGTTAATTCATATCTTCCATGTATTTTGTCACCTCAGCAAACATTTAAGTCACATGTATTCCAGTCCTGTAACAGATCCCATAAATATAACATCAAATGGCCTCAGGAAGCAGTAACCTAGTTGGGGGTGAAGTCTATAAATAACAATGCACATGTCTGCTAAGTTCCACTCATCCAAAGGTGAGTTTAGTATGCAATTCTTAGGTTTACAGTCAGTCAAGCCAAGTTCTGTCATAATCTAGAGGCCATCAACTATCCCCACTCCCTGCCATCCCAAGACCTCTTCACATGCTAATGCTCTCCCTGGAATGATCTTCTTTCTCTTTGGCTGATCTTATCTCAAGTACAGCTCAAGCATCCAACCTCAGAGAATCCCCCCAACTTTTTGATGAGTTTGCTCAGCAAGTCAGCAAAACTTCCCCTAGTAGTGTTGGTTACACAGGTGTTTGATTTGTAAACGTTTATCAAGCTGCTATACCTGTGACAGCTTATTTTTCTATATGCACGTCAGATTTCATAATAAGTTTTTAACTATACTCCCCCCAAGAACACATATAAAAATCATATCTACACATGCATTTGCATGATTCATATATTTTTCTCCCAACATGCTATAAGCTTCCAAAGGCTAGGGACTCTGCCTATTGCTGCTGAACATAGTATCTATGATAAAGGTATGATATTTTTGATGTAGATATTTTCGAAGTAAAGGGTGAAAATAAATTGTACTGATATAGAGTATGCTGGATTTATTTTTCTAGAAACAGGAGTTTAAACAAGCAAGCTTTGAAACCAGAAGTCTTCAAAATTATATGAAAATGTCTATGTATATTTAATTATGTACCTCTCCCATGCCAGGATACAGACCCAACATTATATCATACTTTCAAACCTATTGTCCAAAAAGTTAAGGACCAGTGTTTTAGACACAGCCAGAATTTTACAGATACATCTATCTAGGGACAAACAGTTGGCAAAATAGGACATTTTTTATATCTTTTGCAAAACAGATTATCTGAACATTCACTGAAAAACAGGATTTCCTATTACTACATTTGAATCCTCGAGATTCTCCCATTCTGGTGAAAAATCTGTTTTAAATGTGACCTAATAAAGCTACATAGGAATTTGTGCCTAGGGGCAAGGTAAATTTGTGAGAAGATAAAACAAGACTGTCATGGACAGAGGCATTTACAGGGCATTTCATAGTAGAAAGAAAGAAAAAGGATAAGCTTTTGCTCTTCTACATCAATGGCTGGTCTCCTTAAAACATACATACCCAATAAGTGAGTTTTCAAGCGACACACACAACCAGACAACTGGCTAAATAGTTTCCCAGACAAAAAGATTTTCTTCCCTATAAACTGAAATAGTCTTTCCCTCTGGACATTACTAGTAAAAGGCTCCTGTATTCACTCACCACAATTACTTCTCTGTATTTCACAGGAAGCCTGCAAAAAAATGTATCTTAGCATAAAAGTCATTAAGTCTGGATTCAGGAATATATACACTACAAAATATTGCAAGCTGTTAATTTGGGGGGAAATGTAAATTTTGATATATTTTAGCAAAAACTTGGTAAACTCATTTTCAAATATATTTAAAACAAAATGAGCATCTGTTCAACATGTGTTTATTTTATTTAGGGAATGTTGACAAATTGCACTAATCATTAAGGATGAAAAACTATCAAAATCCATCTATGAACAATAATCATAGAGTACAAATTCTTAATATAGTGATTACCAACAGTCATAACCCCTCCACACACACACACACACACACACACACACACACACACACACACACACACACACAGAAATGCACTTTAAAATATTTCTCAGGAGTTGCTCTGATTTAGAGGACTGCCCAAGTTAAATAATCCTTGGTAGGGTAAGAAGGCAGAAACTTTTTTTCCCTGCCTTACTTAAATGAGGTTTCATTATCTTTGCCTTTCTTAGATGTACAGACCTGGATCCAAATCCCAGCTGTGTCAAAAGACAGCACTGTCATCTCCCTGAGTCTCGCGTTCTTAGCTATAAAAGATGTTAATGCTGGACTAGGTATTTTCTGTGGGTGTTCAACCTCATTCTGACCCTTCTATAATCTCTACTGTATTGACAAGACTGGAAGTGTGAAAATTACATTTTCCTGGACTCCTTTGCAGTCTGGGTTCCATATCGAGAGGCACTCAACTGCAATTTGAAAACAGCAGGAAAGGGAAGAGACTCTGCTCTTAGCAGCAGCCATAGCATCCATTCTTACACTCCTAAGAAGTACACTTTCCACAGTGTTAGCTGCAGGAGTAGTAGCCCTAGCAGCAGAAGCATGATTCGTTTGCCAGTGGAGGTTATTGCCTTGTCAGCAATAAGCACAGGTTTCAGAGTGCAGCTCAGGGGCAAAAACAGCTTCTGGATCTGTGGGTTATACTTCCTTCTCTTTGTTAATTCCGCCAAACAAGGGGCAATAGAACATCCAGATCTCTGCCTCTGCTTCTTCATTCCTATTCACATTTGTGCAACAATTCCCTGCACTAATCCCTCTCATCTAGAAATGCTTAGTGAATGAAGGATACCAATGCCAATTCCATGAGGTTGTTTGTTATAGGATCAAATGTGATAATACAGAACAAGCAATTTGCTCAAAACTTGAAACATGGTAAATAATAAATGCCAATTATTGATCTATGATTCTTTCTAATCAATGTTGGTGATGCTCCAACTTCTCTTCTCAATTCTACTAGGTGAAGATGAATCAGAGCAATAGATCAGCAAGTAAGAATAAACCAGGGCATTGAGAGAGAAGGGCTTCTGTTTTGCAAATGAACAGAGACTCTTGATGGTTCTCTGAGAACATGATTCTAATTACTGTAAAATTCACTTACAAAATGCAGTGTAAAACAGTGTAAAGTACAAGCAAAATGCAGAGTCTCCATCATGTTGAAATGAAAAAAAAAAAAAAAAAAAACTGTCACTGGAAAGCCATATCTAGGTATTCCACTTTTGGAACTGTCACATTGCCTACGCTGCTTTGCAGAGAGAGTTCAAAACTTCTAGATACAGATTTATATATCTAAATTAAACAATTTACAAAAAAATGATTAAATACATACAATCACACAAACTGACCTGCTGGGTACAATGTAACTGGATTCATTTTCTCTGTGCTTTGAAAGGGGTTTTACTAAAGTTTATACAATAATGTAAGTATAGGGAGCTGAGCATGAGTCTCACTAAGAAGATTTATCTACAAATGCAATTTTTTCATCTCAGGTAGAAAAATTTATTATTTTTATGCATTAATATGTGTCAGTTTAATATAAGCTACATGTGATATATAATACATATTAAATGTACTGCTAATATATTTTGTTAGTACATATTATATACAGAATGTACATTTAACTTGTCTGTCTTAAAATACAGAAAGCAAGTTCCTATTAATATTTTGTGAACTAATTCTCTGAAACTGACTATTGAAGAGAAATGCTTCAGGATCCCTAGGTTAATTTATCTTAAAAAAAAAAAGGCTTTCTGTTATCTTCAGGAGACAGTTACATTATGAAAATCACCTGTGATGAAAATGTAACTAGGACCCAGAATATCAGTTGAAAATTAAAACCTGAGGGGCTGCATGCAGCATACCTTCTCCTAGTTGGCTGAACAGAGTCATTGTCACTCCCACAGGATGGGTTTCTGCAGCGCACGTTAGGGAACTTTGGAGACTTTGTTTGGTCATTGGGACAGTTGTAGAGTCCGCTGGAGTGGAAGAGGAATGGTCAGCAATACCCACAGGGAGGAGGGGGGCAATCACTCCCCCAGGCTAGAGGAGCATGTGCAACTGCACATTTGGCACTTTCAGGGAAATACTGAATGGTGGGCACACAGTTCTCTGGATGACAAAATTTATTGACAAAAAACATCTGGTAAAATAAATCATAAAAGTCATTATGAAGCAGAAAGTTGCTAAGTCTGCTGCTTGCTGGAGCAGAAAGTTCCTGCAGCGTGCTGCTTGCCCACAGTAGTAGCTATGGCTACCTTGACCCCCTTCCCAAACAATAAGAAAGTCCCTGATGGATGGGGTAACAAGCTTCCTCATACAAACTGTATAAAACCTTACCATTCCTGCAATTTGGGGCTCAGACTTCTGGGAACTAGCCCACTGAGCCCGCTGGTGTGACAATTAAATCTCTCTCTCTCTAGCTCTGTGAGTGCCATCTGATTTCTCTGGGAAATTGCCATAACAATTATTTTGAAAAAACGGATTTGTCTCCCTGGCCTTCAATAGTAAGAAATAAACACATACGAGTGATGGCAATAACAAAAATTTGCATTTTTGACAAACCTACCACATGCCATTACCTCAGCTAATATTCATCACCCCTAAGTACTGGGGTACAATTATTGGACTCACTTAATGGAAAATGGAAATACAGGATATTTAATGAAGTGCTCCAAGTAAAGTAGCTAGGAAGTGGAACAGTTAGAATTGGAACCACCATAACTACATCACCAGGGAGTTACAATGTAGGTCTGTCACTGGTTTGGTAGTTTTGAACAGTAAAACTAAATATGTAGATAGTTTTAGGAATAAAGTTCCTCTACAATCACTACTAATCAGCTATAGTTTTCAACTGAAGTTTTTACAAGAACTATGAAATGGGGAAAGTTGTCATTAGTATGTCATTTAGAGTTTACAGAAACATATTATCTTACTGTAAGCCATCATCTTGACCTATAAGGCAGTTTCTTAATCTAGGCTAGTTTTCCTTCTGTCTTCCCAAAAGAAAGTTTCACATTGAGACACATCCTGCTGATTTCTACTTCAGAAGGTTTTGGTCATGGCAATTTGCAAATTTGAATCCCTTGTCCACAGCTCATCATGACCAGCAACCCAGCACATGAGCTGCATTATTTAATGGGCTGCCTGCTAACCCCTTTTCTGCTTTTCTCCTTTATAAAAACAATGATCTCTTTACCTCTGCAGGCCATTTTCTTCCCATGGTGCATGAGATTTGCTGCTTTGGGTGCCAGGGCTGTTTTCATTCTTTGCTTTCTTAAGGCTTTAATTAAAAAAAAATATATAAAGAAAATAAAAGCTAAATCATATATTTAATTCAATAAAATTAGCTAACAATTATTTAAGAATGTATATTTATTTTTCTTTAAACTTATTGACTCATTCCAAAAAGAATATGCAATTTCTGTCTCAGCAATTACTGTTGGTTCTCCAACCCCTCCCCCTTTCTAATTGTACTGACCTGGCAGAAGCCAGGTCATCAATTGTTAAGAAGTTTTCAAGAGGATAGGCAGCAAGGACAACTGTAGAGTCAAGAAAAGAAGAAACCTGATAAGGAAGGAAAACCAGGCGTCCAACCTTGAGAGCCTGGCTCCCTCTTTCCAGCAATGGTCAGAGTCCCCTGGCTTTGGACTTGGGTCTGAATTTGTAAGGACAGTGAGTTCTGGGCAGTTGCAGGCTACCCAGATTGACCTTCCCCCACCACCACAGCTTCTCCATGCTTTATCCTTCCAAATTAGAATGACTTTCAAATGCTACTTCCTGACCTACTATCATCTTTCTGCCCTAAGAATGTAAATATAACTGAGTTGTTATTTAATCCCAACAAATCATTTTAGAAACACATGAGAAGACAGTGGAAGGGACTCAACAGGAGAAGTCAGCCAGCAGCGGGGGATGGGAGGTGTGTCACCACTCATTTCCCAGAAGTTTCAGCCTCAGAAAAGAGACAGCTAGTTAATTCCTAATCCACTTCTAACCCTGACTTTTTGAGGAATTCTCTACATAACGTCAATCATGGCACAACAGGTATCTTTAAAGCAGCCAACAAAGACATTTGGAAATGAAGTCATTTTCTAAAAAAAAAGTAAAAAAGAACTTATACCCTAGCATTCTATTCCACAGGGAAAATATGGTAGTTAATTAGCAGCATTATCAAGTGTGTAGATTTAATAAACCAAGGAAAAGGTAAGAAAAGGGAGACTAAGAAATTAAAAAGGGAAGTGAAAGGGGAATTGGGAGAATAGGTTAAAGTTAAAGAATAATGAAATCCTGGGTGGCACATTAATTGCATTCACTCCCTAAGCTATTTCTCATCTGAAACTTGGGTAGGAAAAGCTTAGCAGTCTTCTGATATCAATCCTGTCAGCAAGAAGGCATTTCCAAAGAGAATTGAAAAACCTTCCACACATTCTAAAAAGGCCTGCAATCTAAATTTCATGGAGGATTGCTGTTATTGTGCTGGACATACCATAAACATACCCTGTTTGATGAAGCCAACTTGCCACAGCTGGGAGGTTAACAGAAGCATGGCAAACTAAAACAAATGATCAGGTCTCAAGAACATGTCATTCCAAAAAAGATCATTAGTAAAGGGAGGGTCCTGGTCCTAAACACAGAAAATGTAGGCAAAATCCTGGGGAAAATATTGCAACTCTGAGAAGATGCATTTCTTAGAATTATTTTGCTAAGAAATTACAAACAATATCCCTCCAAGTAGCCAAAATCCAACTAAGTGAAAAGGCCATTATTTACTAACAACAGATGAGTAGAGGATCCAAGAAGTCTTTCAAGGTCACATATTTCTGACTGCTTGGACACCTCGAGCATATCTGTGGAGCCATCTCTATAAAGAAAGTGAGCATATGAAAGCCACTCATTGTCTAAAATTCTGTTCTGTGAATGTAATTAGAGATAGGAAAAAATGACACTCAAATAGTTGTCATAACAGAGAACAAGGCTGATCTTTCAGGGACACAATCCATGTAGTATTCGAGGGGAAGGTCGCTCTGCTGGGGAATGCTGCTGGGAAAATTGTTGCAGAGAGCCCTGAAATGCTGCATACATATAAAATCACTGACTTCAGAATCCCTGAACCTCTAAATGCTATAAACCCTCTTTCCAGGAACACAGTTCAGTGTGTCACTGTAATGAACACAGTACATTAAAGTTAGTCCATTTTATCATACCATTTTTAAATTCCATGGAATTTTCACCTTGCTGCAGAGCACACAGACCATAGATGATCTGTGATTTCACCTTGCTGTGTGAACAGAAGCATTTCCCTCACATGACAGAGGTAGGTCCTAATGTTGTACATTTTAAAACTGCCTGGTGGCACAGGCAGTTGAGCGCCACACTGTGAAGCTGTCCACAGCCTCTGTAGCATGGGTTTGATCCCGGCTGGCCAGGGAGAAACCCACATGACACGGTGGACCTCTCCTGTCTTGCCCGCCGCTCCCCTCAGGAGTGTATTTCTTCAGTCTGCCTGTTCTGTTCCCCACTCTGTCTCTGGTGAATACTCTCACCCTCTTGCGCACCTGGCCTGTACTCCGGTTCTTATAAAAATACATAAATCTTTTAAAAAATAGTAAAATTATTCAGACTACAGGCTATTTTGATCAAAAGTATTACTTAAGTAGGAAAGTGAAGAATCTTAACCTGCCAACCAGAAAACCATTTAGTAGCATGTTCCTTCAGTTAACTGACAGACCTTTTTATTGGTGAAGGTGCAAGAATTTTAGTTGTTCCTTCATTTTCTCCATTTTCCATGTTTGCAGTTAGCCGATTTATGTTGTTTGATCCTAGTTGCAAAGAAGGGGAAGGAGGTTGGAAAGGAGGAGATAAGGATCATGAAATACAAAAAGAAGCAAAAAAGGTTATTTTAAAATGCTATTTAAGTACATCATGACACATTGAATTGAAAAAAAAATATATATATAATGAACTGAATAAACCTGAGGTGCTATTTCCTGACATATATAAACCCTCAACATAACAATGTCCTAAGGAATCTAGGCTTTAAAATGGAAAATTTTGAGACTAGGAGTTAAATAAGTCTCTAATCATGGACACTCTTTACTTTAGATTACTAAAGGAAGTTTCCAAAAATATTTGGTACTACATATGGGAATATAAAACATAATAATTAATCCTTGATAACAATTTCCTACGGTGAAACTACAAATTCCATTGATTTTAATATATTCTAATGAACCAGCAGAGGGAGCCCCCAGCAGACACAGGGTTGGAAATCATCATCTGAACTAAGATCAGTGAACAGCCAGGCTTTTCAAGGAAGTCTAGAGCCCCATTTCCAGGACAGAAGTTGCAAGGCCTGCTGGGGGGAAGTGTATAGTCATCAATGATGACTATTCTCAAGGGACACCTGGGGAAAGCATCCAGGGGATATCAAAATTCTTGGTCAATTAACTCCATGTGGCATGCAATGCACTTTCCTTAGAGTGGCACTTTTCAGGGGCATGTCCATTATTTGAGTCCTTCAATCCAAAATGCAATCATTACAAACCATGGAGGGTTTCTGAGTCATGAGATGAATTTGTAATACTAAAAGGATATTTAATGAGCACTCACTATGTGGCCGGTGCTTATCTAAGCACTTCTGGCCTATTTACTCATTAAATCCTCAAAATTATCCTATGAAGTATATACTATATTATCCCAGTTTCAAAAAGAAAAATGGACCTTTCCAAAGTCTCACAGCTTTTGAGTAGTGGGGTCAGCTTTGAAGCCCAGTCACCTGACTCCTGAGATGTAGTTCTAAGCTACCATTCACAAGGCAACCTGTATATTACCTGTGCCCCATCCTCAAACAGTTCAAAAATCAGTCTAAGCTAAGGGTCCATTGGAAGTGCTAGGCTCCTTAGGAGATAAGTGTATAAAGGCCCAATAAGGGCAAGAGAAGGAATCTTTTTGTCAAGAGCAACAGATATTGAAAAACAAGTGAAATATTTGAGCAGTCCCAAAGTTTGCAACTCCCTCCAGAGCAATTTGGAGGCATGTTTGGCTACCCATCAGGAAGGATAAATGCTGATGAATATTCTTTGGACAGAGAAAACAAACAGTGGTTTCAAATAAGAGTTCTAAATCTATTATTCTGAGGAATTTGACATGGATTTAAGATCTGAATTGTCTTCTTATTTTGGAATCCTGAAATGGAAAACTGAACCTGAAACTACATGTGACATTAAAGGCAAGTTTAAACTGAAGAAACGGTCAGAATCCAGACATTAGGGAAGAATAACACTGGGGTCTATGGGAAAATCTACCAGGTATGGTAAATGGGACACAACCAACTCCCTTGAACTATCCCAAATGCTAACAGGCATTGGCAGTGGCCAGTCCCTATTTTGCCATGATCTTAAAACTGCAGAGACAGACTTGACATCAGTGTTGTTTCTCACATGTTGAACTTTATGTAGGATAGCCCCAACGCAGAGGCAAGGGGAATAATTCACTCACACCCTAGACAGTGAATGTTCCCCAAATATTTTCAGTTGTTCCTAATAAACTTCTAAAAATGTAGTATAGTTTTAATGAAGAGACAACCCACAGATTGGGAGGAAATGTTTGCATTCCACAAAACAATAAGGAACTGATAAGAGATCTACAAAGAGCCTACACAACTCAATAAAAACAAAGCAAACAACCCAGTCCAAAAAAAAAATGGACAGAAGAATTAAAAAGACACTTCTCCAAGGAGGAAATGTGAAAGCCTAACAGGCATCACTTATAATCAGGGAAATGCAAATCAAAACCACAATGAGATAACACCTTACTCCAGTAGGAATAGCCCATATTAAAAAAAAAAAAAAGAAAGAAAAAACTGGAAACAACAATACTAGTGAGGGTGTGGAGAAAAAGGAACTCTTTTACACTGCTGGTGGGAATGCAAACTGGCCCAACCAACTGTGGAAAACCCTGTGGAAGTTCCTCAAAGTACTAAAAATGGATCTACTATATGATGCAGCAATTCTACTCCTAGGAGTCTCTACACAAAAGACACAAAAACATTAATTTGAAAGGAAATCTTCACTCCTATGTTCACTGCAGCACTAGTTATAATAGTTAAGATATAGAAATGACCAATTAGGTTAAACTCTGATACTAGCATTTGAGAAGAAAGGTAAGCAATTTAGTAAAGCTAAGTTATGCATTGGTTATTGAAATCTGTAAAGGTTATACATTATTTAGCTTTACTGACTCCTTAGTTTGCTGACATACACTAGAGCTGTTTTTCTCTACTGGATGTTTCCTCCCCTCATCTTACCACCTGCTGGAATTATTCCTCCCACATTAGTTTATATTCTTGGGCTACAGAGAAGAGATGCTTTCACAAACCATTAACTAAAGGACATATCTTCTTGTATTATTTGCCATAGAAAAGTTCCATTTTAAAGGAACATCAGTGAACTATTAACTAAAATAATTAGTTCATAACAATAGAATCTCAGACATTGTTCCAGGAGGTATTTTGAGTTTAGAGAAATCTTTGCCTCTTTCATCCATTTTTTATTGTAAATTATAACATTCAGAAAAGAATATAACAAACATATATAAACAGGTTAACAAATAGTTAAAGTTAATGGCCATTCAACCCTATCCACTTTAAGAAATAAAGCACTGAGAGCAATTTCCTTATACTATACAAATCACTCCACTGGGGGGGGAAATCTCCTTCTTTTAGATTAAATCAAACAGTTGTTTTCCATATGAAATATCAAGAAACAAGTATAGGAGAAATAATTAGCCATCAAGGAAAAGCAAATGAAAACTATAATGACATACAACTTTAACTACATAAGGTTGGTCAGAATCAAAAAGTTAGAGAACAACAAGTGTTAGTAAGGATGTGGATAAGTCAGAACACTTATCCACTGCTAGTAGGATTATAAAATCATGAAGCCTCCTTAGAAAACTGTTGGGCAGCTCCTCAAAGATTAACCATACATAAAGATAATGTATGACCCAAAAACTCTACTCTACTCCTAAACATGCACCTAAGAGAAATTAAGACCTATCCCTTTCCAGTCTGTATACATAGATATTTATAGGAGTGTTACTCATAACAGTCTAAAAATAGAAATTAGCAAACTATCAATCAATTGATAAAGCTTAAAGAAAATGAAGAATATCCATACAGTAGAATATTTGACCATAGAAAGAACTAATACATGGTACAATAGAAAGAAAATCTTATGATAAGTGAAATAAATTGGTCATAAGAGATCGCACATTATGTGATTCCATTAATATGAAATGTCCATTAAAGGAAAGGCAATACAGAGTAAAAGTAGGGTAGTAGTAGGGCTGGGAAATAGAGGTTGGGAGTGTAGAAGTGTGAGCTAAAATGTTTTTTTGAAAATGTAGTAGAGACTGTTGAAGCATTATAATTCACAGAACCATGAACATACCTATGGACTTACTCAAAACCATTGACTTGTATACCTTAAATGTGTGAATTATAAGTATATGAACTCTTTCTCAGTAAAGCTAGTTTGCAACAATAAAAGAAATCCAGAAATGTGAATTATTATGTATATATTTAATTATATGCAATAAAATTAATTTTGAAAATGTATTAATAAAAGTAATGATCTTAATAAAACAAAGGACAAATCACTGTGTTCCCCATAACTCCCAGCACAGTGACTTATATACATGGCAGGTAGCCAATGAAAACATTATATTATAAAGGATGTATTTCTAATTCTACTGCATTTTTCCATTAGAACAGAAAATTCAGTTGAAGAATAATGATACTATCTTGAGTTAAAGTGTCAAAACTAAAACCAGAAACTCTGGATGTGGTAGCCTCGAAAATGTGGGACAAGAGGACACACATTTTTTTTCTGCAGGATTGGCTACTTAGTTTTAAAAGCCATTTCCTGCTCCAGCACCCTGCTCTTAAATGAAAGCACAGATTCTCTATAGCAATAATCAGTTATTGATGTATGTTTATTAAGCCTTCAGAGTAAATCGGCATTTTATTTTAGATGACACATTGACTTTAGCAAGACTACTTAGAATTAGTCAAAATCATTTAATGCATTGCATAGACTTTAAAAGACAAAGGTTTTTTATCTCAAGAGACTGGTCACATTTAGAAGAGTAACTTTACAGGGGATTGCTAGAGTTTATTATAGTATATTAAAAAGCCAAATATAGTTTATGATCATTTCTGTTTCTGGACTGTTAGACCCACAGCTTAATAAGGGCACACACAATCCCTACAGTTTAGCCAGCACTGCAATGCCAGTATTTAAAATTCCAGGTCACTTGTTTTTTCAACTTGACACGCAGTATGCAAATGCTTCTACCTGTTTTCATCAGACCAATACCAGCCTTTTGCATGGTTTGGCTCTGTTCATGTACAAGAGCACTCATCTTAAGAGACTCTTCAATTCAGGAGGAGTGACTGTTAGAAACAGAATCAACTTTCCCATGATCTATTTAGCTGCTTGATCTGTAAGTAATTCTTAAAAGTCCTCCCTTTGACATCAAGATTTGGTGGTGAATACTCATGGTCTTCCATTTATAAAAACACTTTGTGATAGCTGTGTGACACCGTCAACTTGATTAAATTTTTTTTTAAGATTTATTTATTTATACAAGAGCTGGGATACAGGCCAGAGACATGGGAGGGTGAGAGAATTCACCAGAGACAGAGTGGGGAGCAGAACAAGCAGACAGACCAAAAGCACTGCTGAGGGGAGCAACAGGCGAGACAGGAGAGGTCTGCTGCACCATGTGGGTATCTCCCTGGTTACCCTGGAATCGAAAC